TTCCATATCCAGAAACCCCTACACCTGTTGCTCCTTCTACTGGATCTCGAGCCAAAGGTTGGGCAATTTCAGCAGTGAAATCCGTGAAGAGTGTTGAGGTTTTACGACCCAAGAAATCATCAAATACTCTTAAAAAAAAAGCTGCCAAACGGCGTGGGTCAGCGTGTGAGCTAGAAGTACGTGAACGTGGACCCTTTTATGAGAATGACGCAAAGAGATTTACTGATTATCCAGAAGCCCAAGTATCATCTTATTTCCATTTCTCATTCGAATCCGCGTTCAGTGTCTTCTGGGGCTCCATATCGACGCGTTCGACGCGAAGTATGTTACATGACTTCTACTGAAGGTTTCAAGGATGCTGATGTTACTTCAGGATACTCCTCCCATTCCTAGTCCTCGAGCGCATAAAATTCTTCCATCTGACAAGCCTCTCCCTCAGACTCCAAACCAAAAGCCGGATCCAGAGCTTTCTCCAGCTACTTCCCGGAGCCTCATTGACGCGGAGGAACGTCCTCTTCGTCGTTCTCCTCCAGGCATGCCTAACGTGAAGGAAGATTGGCCCATCTTGGCACCCTTAAAGCCATCAGACTCCCCGACTAACCGGGCCAACGGCGGCCAGTTGACACCGATGGCCCCTAAAGCACCTTCGGATATCCCATGTGGCATCAAGATGTTTAGTGACGCAGCGAATAGGCTTGCAGGGTCTTTCAGTTCGGTCTCTTCTACTGCCCAAGTGCCTAAATTTGAAGACACTACCGCGCCAGATTTATCTTCCCAAGTGCAACCAACACCTGCGGCAAACGAACAGGGAGCTATCTATTCTTCAAATGGGCAAAATTCGAACCCATTTAGAAATAAAAATCGAATAGTCGTTTCGCCTGGAAGTCCGCCAGCGACCCCTGTGAATCGCAATTTCTCTTACACCTTTGATTCCCAACGCCGTGGAGCAGTGTCTGGATTTCACGATGCATCAAATGGGAAAAAGACTGATACGTTTCCAAGCAAAGATCTCACCACTAATAATTTATCTCAGTCTGATAAGAAAGGCTCTGTATCGAAAATCCCTCGAATTTCCCCAGTGGTATCACCAATAAACACGATGCTCGCTTCCAGCTTAACTAGCAGGCCAATGTCCCCTGCACTTTCTCCGGTCCATCGCAGTTCCATTCCAATTCCAAGCCGATTCCTCCAGAGTTATAAGGGCGAGCAGGCACCGATGACGCCTGTTAATCGAATCACTCTGCCAGTTCCTGAGAATACTGAACAGAGTATTACATCTCCTACTGACACTCTAGAAGTGACTGCACCTGTTAAGCCGGTTCTCAATGACACCACCCTTGAGCTTGCCCTTGTGAGTGATACTGAGGAATTGGATTCCCCTCTGGACGAAAAAGCGGATGCAGAATACATTACTGGTGGGGGTGTTAAAGTTAAACAGTTGTCTCACACACCTCCTTTCAAAGGGCCACAGTTGCGAATCTCCCCAGAGGCTGAGAAAATTATCATGGGCGACGAGGGGGAGCCATCAACTGAGAAGAAAAAGCTTTTAGCCCATGGATACCGGCGATCTGAAAGCCGTCGAGAATTCAGGATGTCCACCGACAGTTTGTTTGGTAGCTTTGGAGCGAAGCGAGACCGTAACCCGCGCTCCAGGTCGTCGCTGGGGAATGCTTCGACTCCAGAACCGGCGTTGAGTGAGAAATTTGAAGTGCTTTCGAAAGCCAATAGTACCGATTCTAACGTCAAAGCTTCAGCGCCACCTGAGAATGATTCAGCTTGTATCAGGTCTTTGGGAATGGATGCTAACACGCTACACGCATCAAAGACTTCAAATAACCCGTTTTTCAACAAAATCATGTCAAAATCATCCTCTTTTATAATTAAGGATAAACCCAGAGAACCGAAATACGGGAACGGCGACTCCTCATGTGAAAAAGTGTTGAGTCGAACTGAGCATATCCGGAATGAATTACCCCTAACCGGAAGTGTCTCCAAGGCCAGCCCCTCAGCTACGAAAAAACCAGAAATCTCCGCGCCCAAACTGAAGCGGACTCCAGACCGTCTGGAAATCCGAAAGCACCCACATATCCTCAAGCGCGAATCGCCAGGAAGTTCTCGCCTCCACAACGACTCGTCTCACCGCATCCCAGATAGACCCGGACTTCGGTATTTGAACGACCATAGCTATCAATCGAAGGCTAGGGCAACCCGTACAGGCGCGATGCCACCCATTGCTCCTCAAGGTCGCATCCACACTCAGGATCCTAGTAACAAAGACCGGGCTTCCCATAGCCGTCACTCACATGTCCATATACCAGCTACCAACTTCCAGGAATCAGTCAAACCAAAGGCTTCTGGTACGAAAGGAGTGTTGCAAAATTTCCGCGGCCTTTTCACGAAGAATAAGCCGGAACAACTGAAGGAAATCCCACCTTCTGACGTTCCTACCGGTAATCACAAAGAGAGACTTTCGAGAAAGTCCAAAGCTTCGCTTAATGGAGGACGTTCAATTACTAGGAGCCCGGTACGTTATTATCAGGCAGTTTTTGGTACCGACCGTGAGGTCCAAGCATCTCAAGAGCTGCATGATGCAAAAAATACCCCTTCGACCAATATTTCACCCACACAAGTTGCTCCTGCCTTTGCGAACACCAGAAACGTCAGTGGGCTAGCAATAGAAGTCCTTGACTCCGCTCGGGCTGAACCAGATACCCAAAAGAAAGAGCAGTTGGTTAAAGTACGTGAATATATCCTTACATATTTTGTAGAGACCACTAACAAGATGTGATCAGCTTGGGCGTATTCTTATCGAGGCCGTCAACAACTCCAACGATGCAGAAAAGGCCATGATAACTGCTATTCAGGCTGCTAAGCAGGCAGAAATTTCATGTGCTCTGGCAAAAGAAAATGCCTTGCAGATTGGCCAAGTCGCTCGTGAGTGGTTAGGGGGAAATGCCAATGGTATTAGTACCTAGGGTCTCCCCTCCTTTGCCTACAGTAATTGCGGTCAGTGTTTCTGTTTTACTCTAGTTGTGCTTGAATTTGAAGTGTATCCCAAGTTAAGGCCCTGTTGCCCGCATAACTTTTGACCTCTGTTTGGTTTCAACCGTTCATACCTGGGCTCATGTTTGGACCTGCCTTTCATATGCCATTGATTCTCTACTTTAAAGGCTATCCACTTCATTCTCAAAATTGTATTCTAGTTGTCCCTATGTTTGAGTGTAAAGTTAATGCTTGGTCTGTCTCCATTTCCAATTTCTTCTCAAACGGGTGGATTTCCCGGAATTTAATAAAATCGTCCATACTCCGTACATCCCCTAATAACACTTTGAAAGAAATTTTGTTCTACTTGAAGAACAGTCACAAGTGTACAACACATCGTGTTCTTTGCAGCCAACCACTACCATGTTTTCGCCAATAATGAGGTCGTTGGCTATTCGAGCAGTGCGGCTTCAGAAAATCAGGGGCTCAAGTCAAAAAGTGGGCTAGTGGACGGGTGGCGGCGGAAGCTAGCTTACTAAGAAGAAGCTTATTTTGACCACCCCCCTTGATATTGTCGACTTCATGCCATCTCTGCCTCAACAACTCGGCGCGATCGCGAGTTATTTCTAGGGAGAACCCGAAACTTAGAGACAGTTACACTAAGAGCAAGCTACGTGCTAGATTGCAATGATTTTCTAGGTTACTTGATATCCAATTGGTGCAGTTAAATGCCCAATTCTTCAGCATCCTGGATCTCAGCGAAGAGGCTATTGAAGCCTGAGCCTCTTCAAAACTGTGATCTGTATATTTCCTTGCTAGATGCTGCAGATATACCTTATCTGTACAATACTTAGCTGTTAAAAAGATAAATATCAGCATTGAGTCCAAATCCTCCTATGCAGCCCACGAGATTTGTCTCCAGTTGATCCGAGGCGGTACCAAGGCCAATGGTATCAAAATTTACATATCAAACGGGCCCTCTGCGGAATCTTTCAGATCAACGTCAGTCAGCGAATGAATGCTAAGATCACCCAGTGGCAACGTGTATCAAATGTGTAATTTTCAGGCAGCTCGTTTGATCCGACAAACCTCGTTCCACCAATCAAAGCTTTACGGAATTCGCCTGTTTTGAAAATTGCCCGTTGCTATGCTGGTATTACAAGCGCGTTTTTGGGGCCGCAGAGTTTTTCTTTCAACCCTCTCGCTTACGACTCCTTCCTTCTTCCTCCCTTCGTCAAGAACGCACAATGATCCTGTCAAACATCTTATGTCTTTTCAATCTATCCACGGTGGCCCATCTACCTCTATTTTGCTTACATCTTGCTCCCGTGGCCTTCTTTTATATCTTTACAACTTATATCTTCGACGTCTTTGGAGATAATTCACGCTGCGAATTTCTGCGCATTTTTGGGATCAACAAATATTGGTCTATTATCCGCCTTGATTATTGCCAGAATCGGATAGCAGTGATCACTCTTTTATCTGCTCTTAATCTCTATTTTAAAAAAGACATTAAGCAAGGGGCAAACGCTTTTGCGGCATTCCTTGCACGTTTACCACCGTCTCAGATTCGACGTTTGTACTTGTTTTCGCATCCTTACTTGATATTATGCTTACGCTGGCTTTAGGGTCTACCTTAACTTGATTTTTGTTTATCGATTTCCAAAAAGGATTTCCGGTGGTAAGTTGGCGTTCAGACCTGGTTAGAGGACGAAAGTCAAGATTAATATCTCTATTTATGATAGCCTTTACACGCACTTTGCGATCACTATCGATCGAAGATTTGAATCTTTTGCGATTTCTACCGTTCTCGGCCAGATTTGGCCACTGTCACTTCTATGTTTCGACATTGACCGTTGTTGAAAAATCAACATCCACCAATAGTTACGGACACAATTGTCGAAGAGATCTCAATGCCTGCAATGACTCGAAGTAAGCTTACCCACAGACTACTTTTGTGACTTTCAAAACTTAACGAGCCGGAATATCTAGTTATCCGGCACAATGGTTTCCATTTTAATTATCATCTAGAATTATTCTCTTTTGCCTAGTAAGTGCTTGCCGTCTCAGTCTTATTACCTTGAGAGCTAATTTTGTATTTTGCAAGACGCCAGTTCACAACCCCTTTTGAGCTAATATTTCAACCTCAAGAGGTTTGTTGCCGAGAAATTGGTGGTCTTAGGGATACTTACAACCATTAGTTGCACTCTTCCCATATTTCGTCCTCGCTACTTCGGAAAACCTCCAACCTCCCAAACCACATCCGTGGATTAGTACGCTTTGCGTGCGAGCGAAACTAGGTTTGAATATTAGCCTTGTCCAAACTTATTTTCTATCCGCTAACAGGTACAAGCAAATACCCTGGTATTTGACCTTTTGGACCTAAGTGAAGACTTTGCGCGCATCCATGAAGCAGTTTTGTCACAAGTGGTAACTAGTTTTGACCATTCCCCAGGCAATTTTTGTTCTAACATCCCTAGCTTTGGATTGTTGTTGGCTACATGCTAGGCATTATAGGTAGGTAAGAAACGAAGACCGTCTGTTGCAGCAATTGATATTGGGTATAGTTTAGCACATCTACGATCGATTTTGTCTTTCGAATTCGTCGGCTCGCCGCCCGTCGTTTTAGCCTCGGTCGCAATCCCACCAAAAAAAAAAGAAAAAAAAAACAGAAGAAAGAATAAAGAAAGAAAGAAAGAGGGAGAAAAAGATAAAAAAGTAGAAAATCGGAAAAGGACAAAAGCAGGAGAGAGGAGAACGAAAAAAAAAAAAAAAAAAAAAAAAAAAGAGGTGGAGGGAGAAAGGCAAGAGAAAATCAAAAGATCGAGAAAAAGGAAAAAATAAGATCTGTGAGACTGAGTGTTGATGGATGATTGAATTTGAATGTGCTGCTTGGACACTGGAACAGTTGAAAGGAAAAAGAAGAGAGAGATCGGCCCGTTGAAACCCATTTATTAAAAAAAAAAAAAAAAAAGGGGGGGAGAGAGAGAGACCTGGGACAAAAAGCGAAAAGTGCGAAAAAAAGAGGGATTATGAAGACAGGAGCCTCCTTGACCGAAGCCTTGTTTGATTCAATTGATACACCCGACAACTGTTATGTTTCTCATGTCATCCGTTCAATTTGGCTTTCTTGGTTTTCGAGAGTCCCCCCTATGTTTGCCTTTCCACTTTGACTTGGATATTTCCCTATTTCTGTTTTCTCAGTGCGGTTTTGTTTTGAAATTGGCTGTGATCCGATGCCCAATCGCTGGTCTTGTTTTACTCCTTTCTTGTTCGTATTGGAGTACTTTTGTTCAACTTTGGATTGGATCAAACAGCAGTCACTACTTACTTCTTTGCAGAGCGGCCTTCTTTGGATATTCGGTATCACCCAATCTTCGATACTCGTTGAGTTAACTACGACCCCATTTAACCTACTAACATTTTGATGCCCGGGACTAACCACTTTTGAAGATACGCAGGATTTTAATATACAGGCCCCGAATTTTATAACCACTCAGTGGCAATGGCTGTTGATGTGCCGTGGTGGATAACAGATGTTGAGATGCCGCTCTCAAAACAATTTCATTTCTTCTGTGACCAATTTTGAGTCGAAAAGGACCTTTTTCACACTGAGTGTCGAAAATACAGTCAAAAGAGTTCTGGAAAAGGCTAACTCAGTAATAGGGATGGCTACGATTTTCTTTCTTGTTTCCCGAATGTCGTACCTGGATTTCACAATATTCAACCGAGGATTCGAGCTCTCTCCATATGGCATGGTGTATATCACTAGCCTAATTGGTTTCATTGAAGTTCCTTTACATTAATACCGACTTCGGGATTTGATAACCAGCCAACAGCTCGAGGCTATTCGGCGTGGCGTGGTGGATGCCGCTTTTTCTTTACTCTTCCTAACTAGCATCTTCGCAGCTTCAGTCTTGGGTTTCTATAACCAGCCAGCAGCTCGAGGCTGTTTGGTGTGGCGTGGTGGATAACGCTTTTCTCTATCTATCCTTCCCAATCGGCTTCTTCATTGATCTTGGGCTTCTATAACCAGCCAGCAGCTCGAGGTTGCTTGGTGTGGCGTGGTGGATAATATCTTTTTCTCCACCTATCCTTTTCTTAACCAACTCCTTTAACAGCTTCGATCTCGGGTTTTTATAACCAGCCAGCGGCTCGAGGTTGCTTGGTGTGGTGTGGTGGATAATCCCTTTTTTTCTACTCATTCCTAACCAACTTATTCACAGCTTCGATCTCAGGTTTTTATTAAGCCAGCGGCTCGAGGTTGCTTGGTGTGGCATGGTGGATAATATCCTTTTTTCTACCTATCCTTTCCAAACCAACTCTTGCACAGCTTCAATCTCAGGTTTTTATAACCAGCCAGCAGCTCGAGGTTGCTTGGTGTGGCACGGTGGATAATATCCTTTTTTCTACCTATCCTTTCCAAACCAACTCTTGCACAGCTTCAATCTCAGGTTTTTATAACCAGCCAGCAGCTCGAGGTTGCTTGGTGTGGCGTGGTGGATGCCAATTTTCTATTTTTTTTTTCTAACCAATTTCTTCACAGCTTCAATCTTGGGCTTTTATAACCAGCCAACAGCTCGAGGCTCTTTGGCGTGGCGTGGTGGATGTCAATTTTCTACTTATTCCTAACCAATTTCTTCACAGATTTAATCTTGGGCTTTTATAACCAGCCAGCAGCTCGAGGCTGTTGGCGTGGCGTGGTGGATGTCAATTTTATTCCTAACCGACTTCTTCACAGCTTCAATCTTGGGTTTATATAACCAGTCAGCAGCTCGAGGTTGTTTGGCGTGGCGTGGCGGATGACAATTTACTCTTCTAATTATCCTTTCACAACAGGTTCTTATCCACTTGGATTATGGGCTTTTATAACCAGCCAATAGTTCGAGACTGGCGGCGTGGCGTGGTGGATATCTTTCCGAGCAGCCTTTAGGCGACAACAGTCAAATATCACATTTCCAATTGATTTATGGTTCGCGTTTCCTTGATGACATGGTTGCTAACGAGCATTCGTTTAGATCATTTACGATGATGATATCCTTTCTGGGTCGAAATAACTTGCCATGGACATCGAGGTTCGTGGTGAAGAGTGGTGGAATCACTTTTCAAACAATCGCATGTTTGCAATAATATGTCTTACTCCGCACAGCACAAAGAGCATCAACCAAAAAGAGCGTATACAGAATATGGAAAGCGGTCGTCAATGTTGACATCTGGTCTATCTTGAACGCTTATCCTTGTTACCATTTCGGCAATTTGAACATATTTTGTCTCGCATATTCTAGATGACATTTGCTAATTCTAATTTTCTTAGGGGTACATTTGGTATTTATAACCAGTCAACGGCTCGGGGCCGCATGACGTGGCATGGAGGATGAAGCCAACAGCAATTCCAAAGCTTTTCTTCTCGAAAGCTCGCCGTTACCCTCCAACTTTCCCTCGACAAGCATCTTCCAGCCCTATCTATTCGCTTGGCTCCAGAGCTAATCTAACAATTCGGCCCTACTTTAGGTACTTATTCCAGAAGAACAGCCCTTTCGCAATCACCTTTTACCGATTATAGGCGAAATCACAACTATAGATTTCATCTTGCCGTGCGTTCCGTATAACCAGTTGGTGGCTCGAGGTCATCCAATGTGGCGTGGTGGACAAAATCCTTTTCCAACTCATCGATAGCATGAACAAATCGACTGTACTAATCTGACACGTAGGGCTATCGCTGGGCTCCTTATAACCAATTGGTGGCTCGAGGTTACCAATGTGGCATGAGGGATACACCTTTATCCGATTGACTGGATGCCTTCCTATTATACTCTTGACCCAATATTTTTCTTGGGATAATACTTTTCGTTTCCGGGCTCTTTATAACCAATTGGTGGCTCGAGGTTACCAATGTGGCGTGAAGGATACACCTCTATCCAATTGACTGGATGCCTTTCAATTATACTCTTGACCCAATATTTTTCTTGGGGCAATACTTCTCGTTTCCGGGCTCTTTATAACCAATTGGTGGCTCGAGGTTACCAATGTGGCATGAAGGATACACCTCTATCCAATTGACCGGATGCCTTTCTATTATACTCTTGACCCAATATTTTTCTTGGGCCAATACTTCTCGTTTTTGGGCTCTCTATAACCAATTGGCAGCTCGAGGTTGCCAATGTGGCGTGGAGGGATTCTCTCACTTCCGAATATGGTTGTATGCCGGTCTGGGGTGGTATTTCGTTAGCGGCAGTTTTGGGTCTTTAATGGCCTTCTGATTATGTCGAGACTATCGATGAGGCGGAGAGAAATGTCGGCATTGTTGTCTAGGTCGTTCGAGGTCATGAGAACAATTTTTCTTCGTTGGTGGAAGTTGCTACCCATGGTCAAGTTTTGGTTGATTGTGCACAGGGATAGTTACGCAAGCGATGAATTTTCCAATACTATTGCTGCACATTTTGTATGGTATGTGGCTTTGGAGAATGCACGGCTATTTTTCATTTATTATTCGGAGTTTATTGATGCTGCGGGGTTCGGCAGTCGTTGAATATTAAGGTGACTCCGGATGCCCGTATTTAATAGCTAGTTAAGCGTGCAGTACTCCGCATTCCGCAACTCGAACTGTGGAGTTGCTAGCTAACTAGTTAAACGATTGGTCAAGATTATGAAAGCCCTCGCGTTCGTTGGATAAGTAAGATGGACGACAATCATATCTTCGACTTTCATCAGACCCCAGAGCTGTGCGTTTGAAATCGATCTTCTGATAGTGCCAATTGTGTACCAGCCATTTTTATAACCAAAAGAGCAAGAATGACCGAAAAACGTGCCGTCTTTACGGAGAAAGGAGCCGCACCATTGCCCGTCTTCTCTCAGGCCGTGGTGCATAACGGAATGATATACTGCTCTGGTAGCATTGGCCTTGACCCGGCAACCAAAAAGGTGGTCGAGGGGGGGATTGGCGAAAGAACCGTGAGCTGACTTGCTCCTGAGGCTCAATATGTATCTTACGAAGCAATTCCTAACCTTAAGATCTTCTAGGTACAAGCACTACGAAATCTCTCGGTTGTCCTGGAGGCTGGAGGGAGCAGTATCCAAAATGTTGTAAAGGTCAACGTGTTCTTGACCTCGATGAAAGACTTTGCAGAGATGAATGAGGCTTATGAACCTTTCTTTAGCGGTGGTGTTAAACCAGTATGGATTATTCTCGAATTCAAGATACGGATAAGCGTTAAACTGATGCCAATTCTTTTGAAGTGCCGTACCTGCGTAGCAGTGAAGGAACTGCCTTTCGGGACCGATGTCGAGATTGAATGCATTGCATTTTTGTAAGTTGCTTTCGATATTGTTTGCGTAATATCTGACTTAGGACGGTTTAGGGACAAGCGAGAATCAAAATTGTAAATCTTTAAGAGATTGAATCTTATCACTTGCTTCCAGGCGATTCCAAGTTACTCCTTTGTGCTGCAAAATATGTTAGACAACAGCTTGACTAGCAACGGAAATCTCAGAAGCAACTATTACATCGACCCATTACATACAGCAATGCAATAACGATATCATATTTTTGTTGTCTGATGATTGCTAGTCTTGATTTCAATCTATCCCTCATCACCAGCCAACTATACCCTGATGACACATCATGGATATGTCATTAGATGCTGTTCCTGTCTTTAACGCACTACCCAAACGGCACGTACCGGGGAGATTCGCACTAACTCGTTCAAGGCATATAAAACTTGCATTGTTTACCTCCCCACCTCTCTCGCACCCAACACTGTTTCTGCTGTTTTCCATTCTCTCAGGCTCTCTTTACATGATACCCGGCTTTTCCGCCTGTACAATCTGGAGACTTGATATCATTTTCTCCTTTCTCATATCGTTCCTCTCCATCAATCCACATTATGACCGAAATGGCTTTTCAGGATGGGAACAAATACCAGGGTATCCAAAGCAAAAGAATGAGGATGCGTAATAAGAAAAAGGTAGGCCGCCTGCTTCTTTACTGTGACTATTTGCAATCTAACGTTTCAAAGCAAAAGAAAGCCCAAAGGGAGACCGACCTTCCCCTGAATCATTCGCAGAATGCTCCAGGATGGGAAAAGGGAAATCACTTTAAGGCCAATGAGGGCAAAAGTGGACTATACTTTCAAGGCAGCCACGAGACTGGCATTGAAAACACTGACAGCTGTTATTGGAATTCTGGAATTGTTGGCTACAATATCCATGACGGAGTTGGGGATGCCTGCGCTTTTCCAGATACATCTTGGTGCACAGCCAGTCAAGAGCACTACGCGTACTATCCAATTGTAAGTATCGCACAGTTGCTCATAGATCTCATCGACCATGCATGATAGCGCTTACCACTGATATAGGATCCTTGGTATGGATATTGGCCGTACGGCCCATACGCCTCCATGACCCACGACTATGAGTTCAATGCTGCGGCTACCGCTCCTGAGTCATTCCAACTCCGTGCAGAGGCACCAGAATTTATCCCTACCGGACAATCCTTTTCCTCCAATGATGGCGAGACTGAAGGTCCCGTCCGATCGGACAGTGTTCCCATGACCGAGGAAATGGCGGAAGCGCGGATCCACAAACGTTATGTTACGATTTGAACGGTTAATGTCACAATTGCAAAATTATCATTGTGATTCTTTTTTGAGAGCACGGTGTACGAATACGTCTTTGCCTTGCCCGTCATTCGTCGTCGATTTGGTTTTGGGGTTACTGCTGTTGGGCTCGGAAAATTGATATGGAAAAAACAAGCGCTAAACTCTAGGATTTCGTCCTCCCCTTTTGTCATTCTTTCTGAGGTGAACTGCTTTTAAAGCTTTAATCGGATTGCAAAAATTCCCCGTCGCGTTCTGGCTCAGGACGGCGAGTCCTCCAGCACCATGATTGTTTGATTGCGTTCTCCGTTTGTGTACCAGAGTAATTGCTATCCAGTTGCGTTTCGCTTTTCAGAATAGTTGAATAACACTCCGTCAGTTGACTGATCTTTGCAGTGGAAAGCAGCACTTGTCGGTTTTACGGGTCGAATTGACCTCGGCGCTGACGGGGAAGAAAAGGAGCCGATACAGTGCTAATCCAAATCGAGAATAAATATCACGTGATCCTCGCAATGCATCCCGAATCTGGACTAGTCCCACGCTGCAGTGAGTCTTGGGATAACATCCTGAGAGCTTATTTCTTCTCTGCCAAACAGGCAGCAAGGTTTTGCGTTGCAGCTATTTATCAACGCTTCAGGAAAGCTGTGGAGATGCCTGGCCAACTCAGAGGTGAGGGCCAAGCCCGTATTGAGCGCCAGTCGGTTGAGCCATCTGCCTCTCTTCTCAAAATCTCGACAAGGCAGTCAATTCGTTGCACCAGGTTCATTGCCCTTCTTTTACCTCTAAAAAACGATGGTGTACTGTGGGAAGCCGAGCAAGGGTTGCCATCAGTGTAGACGCAGAAAGATTAAGGTAGGTACAAGCCACCTGGGTGTGATGATGCTGCATCCCGTACTTGCCATGATGATCTTTATAGTGAGCTAACTGGGAATGTAGTGCGACCAAGGAGAGCCCTCTTGCGGCCAATGTCACCGCGCCAATTATATTTGCCCCGGCTATCGAAATCAGCTTGATCTGTTATTCCGGGATGAGACTCAGAAAGTAGCAACAAAGGCCGGCGCCGTCTCAAGGCAGACGAATCCAACTCGCCTGCCGGCTTCGAGTGTCCAGACCGTGGCGACGCCAAATGACGAATCCGCAACTCGTAGAAATGCCAGGCACAAGCAGATCTCCTTCAAATCGATGAGACGGTATCAAGGGGTGCACGGCAGTGGCCCACTGTCATCACGGGCGCTCCCCGTTGAGCTTACGCACCGAGCAATATGTTTCTTTGTGTCAAACTATTCACCGTTGTTCCGACTTCTCGGGCCGGGTTGCGTTCCTCCTGTAGCACTCATGGATGCCCTGTTTGATGATGAAACTCTGTCGGTTTGTATGACAGCTGTAGGTCTGGCATCACTGTCAAACATCACGAAATCTCGGCCAATGCGGCTCGCAGCCAGGGAACATTACACCAACGCGTTAGCTTTAATACACAAGAGGCTACAAAACCCAGTGCATGCGACGTCCACAATGACCTTAGATGCTATTATGCTTCTAGGAATGTTTGAGGTAGCTAGTATCTTCTGCCCCTCCCCGAAGAACCCTTGCATTGATCAACTCAACAGGTCATCACATGTCGCGGAGCCACGTCTTTGCAAACTTGGAGGAATCATATGCAAGGGGCAACTGCGTTGCTCAATCTTAGAAGCCAAATGAATTCTTTTAAGCTCGATCGCTTTCGAACCGTTGTTCAAATTCGCGGTCAAATCGTAAGTCACCAAGCGCAGACACAGTCGAAGATTCAAGCCGCATACCCGGGGCGTTTTCACTGGTGGATGAATTCAACTGACAGTTCATCGTAGATTTCTGGCTGCCTTGTCGCACAAAGTTACGCTCCCCCTTTAATTGACCGCCATATAAGCCTAGATCGATCCGAAATGTCCGATGCAGAACTTGCCCTGGAGGACGTGACAGTGCTCCTGATTGAACTGACGAATTTGCGAGCTTCAGTAAAGGAAGGTGTGATTTCATCCCCATATGAGATTCTTTGCATGGCCTTGGATCTCCGGGAGCGCTTTCTAGCTTTTGAACGTTTGGCGGAGGACAAATACCCCTTCCGACGGATTATGAACTGGGACGGAAAGTCCAGATTTCTTCCCCGGGAGTCCGTTTATGAGGATTACTTTGATGTATATCCCAGCATCTACGCTGCTAGTATCTGGAACGGCTACCGCGCTGGTCGCATTACTCTCAGCGGCACTATCTTTAATCAGTTCTCGGAGCTTCAGACATCGTGCATCACGGGAAGTACCCTCTCGGATGAGATATGCATTAAAGTGGACGAAGAGAACGCCCAAATTGAAAAGCTGGCACAGGATATCTGCAGTAGCGCGCCATTTGCATTGGAAATGATTCGCTGGGATGCAGAGGCTGTTTCCGTCAACCCTGCTGGTCCATGCGGACTGGGTGGGTTCTTGCTGCTGTGGCCCTTGTGCCTTGCTGCAGAGGTGGGCAAGACGATGCCGAAACTTCAGACTTGGATAGTGCGCGAGTTTGAACTAATTGGACACTTGCTTGGGATTAGCCAGGCACTGTGGATGTCGAATTTGATTAAAAAAAAATACTCGATCGGCGAGTGGTTGGTCTGTGATGGATTATCAGAGTGGGATTTCTGGATTGACCACCGCCTTGATGCGTGAGTGTTTGGCATATTTTAGATGTAACAGTACGAACAGACATGCAGACATAGAAATCCTACATTAGACAATCTCAGCCCTAGAATTGAATTAGTAGATCTCTTGCCTCCGTGCCACCAAGTCACGAAATCCTCCACTTTCACACGCTGAGCCCCTGAGGCGGTGCCGCGCTGACTAAACGCGGTAAGGCAGACCCCCGCATGGCTTGAGACTGATTGGCTGAAAGCTAGATGCGGCGGGGCAGGGGAAGCCAAGCCCTGTGGCGGTGCAACCTAGACGCCGCCAGCACCATCTGGACTGTCACCCTGCCCTCCAGGTGCATCGCAGAATCCTCGGTCGTTTGGCAGGACGATCAAGAATCGCCCGGGCTAGGGGTGGGGTGACTTGCTTTGGGATTTTTTTTGTTTGCGTCTTGGAAGATTCTTGGTGCCATAACTAACTAGCTCTGCCCGGGTGGGTTTCAACCGACCTGTCCGTGGAATGCCACATACGGCGGCAAACCCTGGGAATCTGCCTTGAGCAGCCAGAAAACGGGCGATGGTCTCCGGAAGACGGGCGCTTAGGGGAAATCAAAGATGTCATCTGGAGCATATAAGGAAGCAGTGGAGTGCTCACTCCTTCCGGCTCCTCCAGCCAGATTGAGTTCCTTCACTCTCTGAAATATAAATACAAAGCGAGCCTCTTTCTTATCACTTGGCATTTACTATTGTCAACACAAGTTCACTTTGATCCTGCTCTCCAGGACAGTTTCTCGATTGATTCAGGCAGGATTTTTGCTTGATTTTGCAGGCTAGCTTTTGAAAATGGGCTTGTTCAGCTCTTCCAGGTCGAAACAACAAGCGACTTTGCGTCCAGATTCGATCATTTCTCGCGGCTTCGGGCGTCGCAGCCGAAGCCGCAGCCAAGGGGAAGTCGTTGATCGATCCTTTCAACCACATTCAGTGCCGACTACGAATTTTGCCCCTTCATATCCCCTGGAGGCCCCGCCAGCATACACAGCGCAGGCACCATCAAATACATCTACCAACGCATCATGTTCCGATTCGCCATATGCGTTCCTCACACAATTTGATACCGTTTTTCTTATCGATGATAGCGGCAGTATGGCTGGGCGCAGTTGGAGGGAGACCGAAGCCGCTCTGTCGGCCATCGCGCCAATCTGTACGCAGTTCGATGCTGATGGAGTGGATATCTACTTCTTGAACCATATAAACAGACAACCTTCCCAGAACACGGGCGCATACCGCAGCATTACCTCGCCGGTCGAGGTGCATGAAGTCTTCACCAGCGTGTCTCCAAGAGGCGGAACCCCGACGGGAAAAAGACTGGGTCAGATCTTGAAACCATACCTTGACCAGTTAGAATCCTTGATTGAGAACGACCGGTTTGCCAGCTCCGATTCGTTGCTGCGACCGCTGAACCTCATCGTCATTACGGATGGTGTTCCAACGGACGACGTGGAAAGCGTGATTGTCAGTGCGGCACGGAAGTTGGACCGACTGAACGCCCAGCCGTGGCAGATTGGAATTCAGTTCTTCCAGGTTGGTAATGAACCTGATGCAGCGGAGGATCTTCGCGAGCTCGACGATAGCCTTGCAGGTCAACAGGGTGTACGGGATATGGTTGATACGGTACCGTGGAACGCAAACAATGGCGGAGCTATCACTGCAGAGGGTATCTTAAAAGTTGTGCTTGGTGCGGTGCATAGAAAGTATGACCGCAGAAATGCGGCGGGAAGAAGGGAATGACGCTGATGTATGGCTGAAACGGGACACTGCTTTGTTGGAGGAGTTCATCTTTGCGTATTCATCCCCTTCTGTTTGGCTTGCATTTCATTATTGAGGTTCTTTGATCAACCAAGTTGGCATTTTGTGGGCTAGTTTGCTTTCATACAAGAGATCATCTTATTGGACATCCATAAATTACATGCATCAACTTTTTCATTGGCACCCCCGGCTTTGAGTTCAAGTCTATGACTCTGCTCCGTTTGTATGCTCATGATCTTCTGGTAGATCGGCTTCCAAACTGATCCGAAGTATGATGACGCAGTACTCCGTACACCATAGTAACTCCGTACATCTCGTCTATTGGTCAGATTATTTTCCAGGATATTGACCCCAGCTTCCGATTGGCCAACTTTTCGAAATTCAGGTCCCGAAGCTTATCAATTCCAACCAATCAGACTGTGACTCTGCAGCTGCGCCAAGTCCACGTGTGGCCTTGGAACCTCACCTGGACCTCCCGGCTCTTCTCTTCGCGTCGAAGGCGTCAAGCTAAGAAGATCGCTCGCGAGATAAACTCGCCGACTGGCCAACAGGCGAGCACCAACAACAAACAGACCTTGTTTGCTCCCATGTTGCCGGGGCTGCCGGGCTCTATTTTTGGCCCATGGCGTCCCTTGAAAGTTGAACCCAGGTCCATGTCGCCTGGCACTCTTTCTAGGACTTCTCCTTGTTCGTTTCGATAGCCGCTGAAGACGTTTCAAGGACTGCTTAATCTCCTGCTCTAGAATGCCAGCATATCCTGCTCGACAACCCAAAGCCCAATCGTTTAACAAACTCGCTTCCTCTTTGCACGTCTTGGTGCCGAGCCTCTGAGGCGCCCGCTCAATTTCATCCCGATCTTCTTCCAGATTGGATCCTCATCGAAGCCCCACCGATGTGAGGGAGCGAGCGTCAGTTCTGGAGGATCTGAAGCGGATTTCATCCCGACTTTGAAACACTCGGCGTGTGCTGAGAAGCCCAAAATAACAACATAATCTTCCAGGAAGCAACCCCATTTGCTACTCCTCGAGCACCAAATATACTCAACCTGCGGCTTGACACTATGGGCATTCAAAGAGCTCGAAGCTTTTCTTAAATCGTTGTTTTTATCGAGTATTGTTCCCATTCCTTGTTGCTTTCACACCGTACGCTCCTTATTTTGTCTTGATTTTGTTGATTTTCCAGCGTTTGTGCAGGCATTTCGATCTATTATATAGCATTGCTAGGAGTTGTTTTTGTATTTCTCGCCCTTGAGTACCAAACTAGAACCGGTTTTGACAAGTCAGTCGATACAACGGTCTCAATATAATTAATCGCGAGCATGGTTTCGACGGCGGCAACCACGCTGATAACGTTCATGCTGTGAGCATCGTCTTTTCCCCCCGCAAGCTGGATGTTGGCTGACTGAAGTTGGTGATTTATACAGCCGGACTCCACCGAACACGCATTCGTTGAAGCTCCTCGGGTCATGGGATAACTTCTCACAGGAGTATACTATGGAGCGAGATACGCGGACCGGGCCGGACCATTGGCGAGGATGCCATGTCTTTACTAATATAATCTGCGATGGTAACCTCAGCACTACTCAGGCTGGTCGGGATGGTGGATTGAGGATGGGTGGGACATATTGGTATTATGTATGCTGGCGTCTTTCGCCTTTATGACTTGAGGGAAACTAACTTGATTGGAACCTCGACTAGTATCGACTTAATGGCGATGTCGATTATTATAATGAAGCTGAGCCGTGGACGACCTCCTGTCCCTTTCTCCCTGGCCAGCCCATCAATATCCTCAATGTTCCTATCCACCTTCCTTCAGCAGATTCACGGCATAAACGCGAGAGCAGTACGGTTTCACAGCGATCCATTCCCCAAACGATGAATCCCGATGACAAATATCTGAATCCCAGACCCCCGCCGCGGCCCAGACTTCCACGTCTCCTCACATCCACCGGAGGAAACCGTAGTCGAGAGGCATTGACGTCTCCGATTGCGTCGTCACCTCAGCATCCAGTACATGGAAGAAGCGCGTCACATCCACGAGACTTGCCGGCACGCCGGAAATTTCGAGTTTCTGCAAAACTAACGTTGGATGCGGCGCCGCCAACTCTACACTCGACGAAGGGAAGCGCTCTTAGAACTGCATTTCTGAATTTCAAGACTCCTCGTTCTGTAGGGAAGGACGCGGAGAACGAAAAGCGGTTTTACTCGAATGGGAGAGAAGACGAGATGGGCTACAAAGTGGACGACCAAAGAGGAAGGAGTCCTCGAAGCAATACTCCATCTCCATCACATTTTCCGTTGGCATCTGGGCATTCAGGCCAGACTTTACAAGTTCCGGTTAAAATATACGGTGGCAAACGACGTCCTGCGTCACCATTTGGGAGTAGATCTGCAAGCAGATCTGCATCTCAAACTCGAGACAGGTCACCCCTGCGAACTCCCATGGAATTCCAGCAAAACCACGTCGCTGAATCTCCATATAGAGTGCAAGACGATACAGAGTCGCCTGTCCAAGACCTCGACCTCAGTGACCCGCCTTCGTTGATGGTCCCCTGTAAATTGGATCTTGGCAGCACCATTGATTTGAATGAAAAACGCCTCCCTACGCTTCCAAACAGTCCTTCCTCTGTCCTGGACGAAGAGCTACGAAGGATGGGCTTCAAATCCCCTGTGCTGGATATAGATGCTTTGCATAGTCATTTCTCTGCATCTACTGCTGCATCAGCTAATATGTCTCCAAATTCCTTTCTGCAGGCTTGTGATAGTCGTTTTTCAGAATGCAGTACGGATACCGACGCATTGTCGCCAAGTTCAATGACTTCTGGGTCTACATTCAATAACGACGGTTCTTTGTCCTCCAGGCGGAGTTTTAGCACCAGCGAGCCGATAGAGGTTGCGTCAATTCAGACGGCGCTCCCAAGGCTTGCAGGTCTGCGCATCACAGACGACTCTGATCTATTGTTGCCCCATCTTCACTATTTTGATACACCATCGCCGCCTACCACTGTTCCCGCTGAGTCTCTTTCAGATATCCGCATCTCGGCATTGCATATTGCAAAGAAAGTGCAACCTTCTGACATTCCAGTGTCAGAGTCGAAGGTACACTTGCTCAATGGACGGGCACCAGATTCCGGACTTCCAACACCACGAGCTAGTGGGGAACAAATGATGGAGCGTATGGGTGGATCATCAAAACAGCGGCCTTCAGCTCATATGCACAACATGATGCAGGAAATAATGGATGAATTGAGCTACTTAGGGGGTATGATTAATGTTGATAGTCCGGTGCATGATTAATCCACTCGGAAGATAACATGCGTGTGTGCATGTAAGGGTGACATAGCTTTCTTTGCCTCTTTCTTTGCCTCTTTCTTTGCCTCTTTCTTTGCGTTAATTGAGGAAAAGAAAAGGCATTTCTGGCTGGCGTTAGTGATGGTCTGAATGGTTGAGGTCTAGGCTATACTGTAATCAAGGTAATCGGCACATAAAAGGACAATCAAAGTAATTTATCAAAAGCGAATTCAGGGAACAATGTAGTTGCATAATAGACAGGGCAAATAAACCGAGCTCGTCGCGTTGTCGAGGGGGCTGGAGTAGCTTCAGATTACACGCTCTTTTTCGTTGTTATCGCGACCTCAAGTCATAGCTCGATGTCACTACACTCTTGACAAAGCAAGTTCATTGAGAAACGGTCTATTGAGAATTCTGTCTTTAAAGCTGAATGGTAATCGATCTTATTCTTTTTAAGGAAATACCAAGTCGAATAGAACCGCACACTGCCAACCCAGCCCATGCAGGCAGGCGAGATTGAAAATGAGTCTTCAAGACACGAAAACGACGACGATGACACGGAGTCAATTTGGCACGCCCACTTTGCTTCCGTGTCGGAAAAACAACTGCCAGCAAAATGCAAGCCGGATACTCTGACCTACTGTCCCACTATGGACTTGGTGGCGCTCGCGACGGAAGACGAGCAGGTTCATGTATTCCGGCTAAACGGGCAAAAAGTATTCGGTGGGTTTGCGCGTGGTGGCGGAGCGGCAGCAGATGGGCTCAAGGTCAAATCTTTGAAGTGGAAAGGGAATGGTGAGTGGCTTTAATGGCATTTATTCGTTTTTTTATTATTACACCTGCGTTTGTTGCTTGGTTCTTTGGGTTTCAGGCCTGACGGTGCTGGCGTAGGACATCTTCTCGCCGTTGCTACTTCTGATAACAACGTCCGCATCTTAAGCGCATATAGTGGAAAGACGGTGCATGTTTTACCATGTAATGCATCTCTGGAATATGGCGTCGGTGTACGGCCACGAGAGCCTGTTCCAAATGTAGCGCCGTCTATTTGCTGCCTAGGTTGGGGAGTTAACTTAACGGACGGGAAGTCGGTCGCGAAGGCTGCTCAAGAGACCCAAGGGCGGTTGGCTGTTGAAGATATCCTTACACCCGAAACGCCGTTATCAAAGCTCGCATATATCAAGGCAGATTTACCGCGTGAGCTTGCCCTATTGGATATCGATCGTTCATTGCCGAAACTGAGTACATTACCGTCGACGGCCCGACGATTGAGTCGATTAGATACAGTAAGTCTAGTGTGCCTGGGC